CAAAGGATCTGGGTTCAATTCCCAGGACCCCCATGGTAGTTCACAGTTGTCTGTAACTCCAGTTCCCGTGGATCTGGCACCCTCAAAGTGACATACATGCAGGCAAAACACCAATATACAGAAAAAATAAATCAAAAGGATCCTTACCTGCTCAGCTCTACGGGACTGCATGTTAGATCTCAGCTCCTGTTCTTGTCTTCATCTTATTCTCCTTACCTATGCTGTGTGCGGCAATCCTATCTTACCCTGGGTCCAGCTTTTCCTCTCCTACTTTAGTGGTTTGCTAAAGCACGACTCCTCAAGAGCAGAGCGTTCTCCACTGAGGTTAAGAGATGCATTGACGGAATTAACAACTCCTTTGACCTCTGCCCCCTTCTCACTCTGGGAGCAACCCTTCCCCTGTACCCCCTCTGCCAGGGCAACCCTTCCTCGGTACCCTCTCTACACCCTCTTCCAGAGCAACCCTTCCTCTGTACCCCCTCTGCCACCCCCTACACCCTCTGCCAGGGCAACCCTTCGTCGGTACCCTCTCTGCCAGCTTTGCTCCAGCCTCACTTGCGGAACTGGTGGACGGGGAGGTGGGGCAGGGGAGGTAGGGGGAGCCTGGGTTCCCGAGGCCGCCCCTCTCTGAAGAGTACCTTTGCTTCTTTCCCTGCTGCCTGGCCTGTGTCTGGCACCTGGCAGCCTTCTGACTCTGCTGTGGACCCACACGCTCACGGTGCTGGCGGAGGTGGCATCTTCGCAGCGTAGCTCGCCGTTGGCCTCTAGCAGGCTGAGGGCAGCCCTTCAGGTAACTGTACCTACTGGCGGCTGGGAGGACATTAACCCTGGGGGTACCTGAGGTCACCTCTTTTCTCTTCCCCAGAGCCTGGAGGTCTGCTTCCATGCTGAGGGCTGTGGTCTGCCGCCAGAGGCCCTGCACACAGCCACCTTCCAGGTAGGAGTCTTAGCAGTGTGGGGAACGACCCTGGGGCCTAGCTAGGGTCTTTTGATGAGGCCCTAATTAAGAGGTCAAGGCAGGGAGCCTGTGTTTCTGTATCCACCTGTATCCAGGACCAGCTACATCACTCATGAAACGGAGTGCAATACAAAACATTGGGCCTCTTATTCAAAGTCATTACAAATTTTGATGCTGGAAAGAAAGAATGTAAGTGTAGTGTCCTTCTAGGCTCAGGGTCCCTACATGCCCACACTAGGGAGAGTGTGCTCAGAGCAGGCCGTCTGGCACCTCTGCCTCTCTGTGGTCCTAGGGCCCAGCACTTCCTATGGCCTCTTACCCTCTGCGAGGGGGGCCTGGCAGCAGCGTAAGTGTGGGTAGGCGTGAAGACGTTTGGGTAGATGCCCTGATGTGCCGTTCCAGGCTCTGCAGAGGGACCTGGAACTGCAGGCGGCCTCCAGCAGGGAGCTCATCCAGAAGTATTTCTGTAGCCGAATCCAGCAGCAGGTGAGGTACTCCTCCTGCCCTGCACCCTCCGAGGGTGACAGCGGGCCTCGCCCCACTCTCTCCCAGCTGATCCCTATGCATGATCCCATGCCAGGCTGAAACCACTTCTGAGCCGCTGGGTGCTGTCACCATCAAGGCCTCCTACCGCGCCTCTGAGCAGAAGCTTCACGTGGAGCTGCTCAGTGCCTCCAGCCTGCTGCCTCTGGACTCTAATGGTGAGCACTGGCTGCCCTGGGCCTCTCCTCACCAGGATCCTGGAGGCTCAGCGGGAGCTCTGAGCACATTTCCTCTGGTTATCAGGAGGGGACTAAGAGATAACAGCGGGGGGGGGGGGCAGTGTGGGGTGCTGTGGTGGCTGGAACTCAGTCATCAACGCCCCCATCCGGGCCACTTGCCAGGTGCCAGTGACCCCTTTGTCCAGCTGACGCTGGAACCCAGACATGAATTCCCTGAGCTGGCCCCCAGGGAGACCCAGAAGCATAAGAAGGAACTTCACCCACTCTTTGATGAGACCTTTGAATTGTGAGTGGGTCCCTACTCTTCTCTATCCCCCCACCCTTTTCCCTCCCTCGATACCCCGCCTCCTATAAGGAGTGCTTGAGATGACCACACTGGGCCTGAGGGGAAGAGTTCTTGGGACAGGTGTATGCGTCCCTGGGAGGAAGGGATGGATTCCAATCAAATACAGAGGCATTCAGGTATCTGCTCTTTGTTGAAGATGGGCCTTGAGGTCACAGGACCTCTGGCTGTAAAGTCAGCCCATGATGAGAGTGGGTGTTACGCCATGTGAGAGATGACCAGGCTGAGAGGCAACTGCTGTTCTCAGCATAGGGGACTCTGTATGTTGGAGGGAAGGGACCGTTGATGGCAGATTTGAGTGAGGCAGGGAACTAACTGAGCACCTAACTCCCTGACAGCCTGGTGCCTGCTGAGCCATGCCAAAAAGACTGGGCATGCCTCCTGCTCACCGTGCTGGACCATGACAGGCTGGGAGCCGATGACCTGGAGGGGGAGGCCTTCCTGCCACTCTGCAGGGTGCCTGGACTGACCGGCTGTGAGGAGCCTGGCGAAGCCCCTCAGACTCGCCTGCCTCTCACTTACCCTGTGCCTAACGGTAGGCCTGAGTCCCAGGGCAGGGCTCTCTTGGGAGATGAACGCCAGTAGAACAGGCACCGTGGCTCAGCTTGCTGAATATTTCACATATCTCCGCTCTGATGGAGAGACCAGTGAAATTCAAGCTCTGAAAGTAATTATGTCACTTCTCTCGGTGGGGAAACGGATTAGCTCCTGTGACTGGCGGCCTGATCTCTGTGCAAGGCACAAGTGCCAAGTCTGAGAACAGAAAGGTCCCTATGCCTGTGTGTCATGAGACACACTCAAGTATCTCAGGGCTGGGTGTGATGGCACACCCCTCTAAACCCAGAGCTCCAGGCAGGTGGATCGCTGTCAGCTTGAGGCCAATTAGAGCTACATAGTAAGGACCCTGTCTATTTTGTTTTTTTGAGACAGGGTTTCTCTGTGTAGCCCTGGCTGTGGTGGAACTCGCTTAGTAGACCAGGCTGGCCTTGAACTCAAAGAGATCCACCTGCCTCTGCCTCCCAAATGCTGGGATTAAAGGCATGCGCCATCACGCCCAGCTGGACTGTATTAAAAAATATCTTAGGTATTGACTTCCAACTCTCACAAGTTGGTGAGCAGGCTCACACTTACAAGGGAGTAAGTTGACACCTGGAGTTAGCTGTCTGGCCTCGGGTTCTCTTGGAAAGAGGCAGTAGTTTCCACCCCACGACCCATCATGTTTCCAGTTTCGTTTGTCAAGACACACCTGTGGAATTTAGCTTGTGTGCCCCACCAATTTCCTTCAAGGCTGGCATAGGGGTGGACCAGCACTATTTTCTAACCAGGAGTTTGACCCTCAAATCTTTCTCTCCACAGGGGATCCAATTTTGCAGTTGTTGGAGAGCCGGAAGGGAGATCGCGAGGCCCAGGCGTTTGTGAAGCTGAGGAGGCAGCGAGCTAAGCAGGCCTCCCAGCATGCCCCACTCCCGGGACGGTAGCCATGGAAGTGAAGCCTGGAAGTTTAGGGTCTTCCTTACAGAGGGAAGGAAACCACCCTTCATTCTGGGGTAACACACGGAGAGCCGGTAGGCAGAGAGCCCAGAGTTCTTGGCAGAACAGCCCTTGGTGCTGGAATACCATGACCAGTATTTATCTTTTGTTTTTAAGACTGGGTTTCTCTGTGTAACAGTCCTGGCTGTCCTGGAACTAGCCCTGCAGACCAGGCTGGCCTCAAACTCAGAGGTCCGCCTGCCTCTGCCTCATGAGTGCTGGATTAATTAAAGGTGTGCTCCACACCTAGATGGTTGTCATTTCTTGCCCCTCCCCTCTTGCCCTGGTCTGTGTTCCCCGCCACATTCCAGCACAGAGGAGTACTTCCTGTCTCTGCTCCTCCCTCCAGAAAAGCCTCTTTGGGAAAGGAATCATTGAGGGCCATCTGCCTTCAGGGACTGCCAGTTCCGGCTACTGGGGCAGGGCCCAGGCATTGGGACCAGGGCTGTGGGCAGACTTTAGAGGGCAAGAGGATCCTGTCAAAGCCGCCCTGGTGCAGGAGGTGAGAGCTGGCAGGAAGCAGGGTTGGCACAGATGGGGCGGCAGCAGAAAGGACAGTTTGGCTGTCTACAGAATAGGCTTCCTCCCTCAGACAGCACCTGCCACCTAGAAATGTTCCTAGTGAAAATAAAAATAACACATCACCCACTGCCCTCGGAGAGTCTATAGTTGGCTCGCAGTGGGCCCAGGTTTGTCAGGCCCTGCATGCCTGCCTCCTCCTCAGAATATAGTGCATGCCCCACCTGGCTCCTGGAGCCCCTGTGGCCAGGAAGCAGAGGTCAGCCCTGGAGCAGTGTGTATCAGGGGCTGGGTCTCCTACCATGGGTTCCAGGATCGATCTCAGGCGGTCAGACTTGGGTGCTGTGAGCCTTTACCGCTGAGCCACCTTGCAGGCTTCACCTCAGCCATGACTCTGAACACACTTTACCTAGCAGTTACTGTGATCGCTGTCCAGGACAGGGATCTGGTGTTGGGGGACCATGAGGTTGAGTAGCTGTTCTGGACAGCTGGGTGTGTGTGGAGGGTCCCCTGCTCTGGACAGCAGGCTGTGTGTGGAGGGTCTCCTGAATGCTGGCAGTCAGAGCTTCAGGTCTGGGGGGTCGTCAAACTTGACCCTGATAAACTCAGTCTGCACACAAATGGGAGGTGGCAAGGCTAGCTGAGGTCAGGCAGAACACCTGGCTTGGGTGTGGGAAACAGAGTAAAAGGGTTTATCTAAGGCAGGGTACTTCCTCAGTGCGAGGGAAAGGGAGGCAGGGGGCCTTGGTGACACACTCCTCCTTCCTGCCCGTCACTTTTCGGAGACCATCAATAGTGCACCATAGGACCCCGGACAGGAGGCACACAGTCTGGGAGGTCGGGCTAAGGCTGACAGTCTCCACTAGGACAGACTCTAGGGAAGTCTGGATGGCATCCTCTGCGGACCCGTTCCCCACAAACACGGCACTGCAAGTTCATGGTTTATTTCCAAGTTTGTTGATTTTTGCATTTTTGTAAAAAAGGAGAAAGTTTTCACTTAATTCTTTGAAAGCCCTTTCGTGCTGAGCCCAAGGGAGGGGCCTGGGCTGGGGCAGATGTTCTTAGCCCTCTCTAGCCCACTGGACACCCAGTGCTGGGAGCAGGGCTGCCTCCCTCTGCCCACTCTGCTTTCCCATCCACTGCATCTCTGTACAGAACAGTTTTTAAAATTGAAGCTAAACACAATATACATCGGACAGGCACGCACACACATGCACACAGGCGTCTGCCCACAACGGCAGTACGTCAGCCGCACTCAAAGAGCACCAAGGAATGCATACAACGCCTCCCAGGAGGTCCTCAGACTGCAATCCTCCCAACAATCGCCCTGCTAGCTGCCAGAGGGAGGGAGCCACCGGCCCTATACAGCCTTGTGCCAGAGGGAGGGAGGCAGGGACAGGTGAGGGCAGTGCCAATCTGTCAGGTGACTGTGGGGCCAAAGAGGCTGTCCTGGAGATCGCAGAAGAAATGATCAAGGAGAAGACCAGGCTTGAAGATCCTGAGGGACAGATAGAGCTAGGCCTTGACCCTTGAGGAGCTCCAAGGGCCCAGGTATGGGAATGGAACTAGCCTGCAGCTTTGGCCTGCCAGCTCCGTGGCTGTCCCCGGGGTTAAAGACATATTTGGTAAAACCAGGAGCTAGGCTGGCTTAAAAGTCTCAGGTCTCCCCTGAGCCCTCACAGCTGGGAGCTGGGGACTTGAGTCCACACTGTGACAGACCCTGGCCTGGAATGCAGGGTGAATGGAGCCTGCCCTCCCAGCTTCCCATCCTTCCCTGCTCTGGCCCCAGGAAGAAGTTAAAAATAGTTAGTTCTTACATAAAAAAAGAGACAAAAACATATTCACTGTCAAAAGGCCAGTGGGAAAAGAGGGGACTTTGTCTCTGAGCAGGAAGGATGGGGAATGGACAGGAGGGGACTGCAAAATAGTCTTTCTTTAAAAAGTGCTTGGTAAGTCTGTTTTAAAGTGTGTGTCTTTATCTATGTCCAGATACACACACAGACACTGTGCACACGCTGGCACCACACACCCGCACACAGAAATGTATACATGTACATAATCATATACATATACATACATACGTACATACATACATACATACATATATATACTTTAAAAAGTCCTAGGAGAAAAGGTCTGGGCCCAGCTGGGCCAGGTCTGCAGGGTCACGACTGGAGGGCATGGGCTCGGCTAGGCTGGCAGACAGGGCACTCACTGCCCTCGGCACAGAGCTCACACAGCACAGCATGTTGGCACGGTAGCACTGCCCGGGTCTGCTCCTGACACTTAAGGCATTTCACCGACTGCATGTGGAACACGGCCTGCAGGGAAGGCGAGAATGGAGAGGTCTCTGTCACCTGCTTGGCCCGAGTTGAGCAAGCAGCTCTCTTGACTCTGTTCACATCCTCAGGAGGAGGATCCTACGGGCAGGTGAGAGCAGCTCAGCTCCCAGCTCCACCTGCTGTCCCAGCTCTGACGGCCAGGTGCAAGGGCAGCTGAATGGTAGCTCCCAGCAGTCAGGGCTTTTGCTGGCACAGAGGTTAATGCCTCTTGTCACCTGTGATCTTACCCTAGGCACCCAAGAAAGACCAGTGAGACTCAGGGGGCATGCCATGGGACTGACTACTGAAAAACTCTCAAAAACCTTCTGCTTCCAGCAAGCAGGCTACCCCTAGGGACCAGCAGGCACCTGTGGCCTGACCACTCTGGAGTATGGACAACCAGAGAACGCACTGTGGGCAAGGCACATGACAAGGCCTAGGTTAACGGTACAGGGAGGGGACACTGTCCCCTGCCACTACTTCCTTGCTCTCCACAAGGGCATTCTCTCATCTTCCAACAGACTTCCATCATTATCAGCCTAGCATCAGGCTTTCGGGAAGGTCCCACCCCATACTCCTGACCCTCGGGGCTGCTGACCTTATCCACTTGTTCCAGGTGGACCCGTAGCTGCTTCTGGAGGGAGTACAGGGTGGAGAGCGAGAGCGCCTCCAGGTCGGGGGCAGCCGGCAGGGCCTGCGCTTCTGGCCCAGTGTGTAGCCGCTCCAGCTCCTCCTGCAGCTTCTTCACCCGCAGCTCCAGTGCATCTCGCTGCTCGCGGGCCAGCTCACACTCTGCTCCGGCTGCACTGGCTCGCTCACCGGCCTCCTCTGCTTCCTTCTTCCAGGCATCACAAGCCTGCGGGCCCAATATGCAGTGTCTGATCACGAGGGCCCCCTCTCCTTGGTCCCCTGCCCTCCCCCTCCCAGAGAGCATCTCCAGGAGCCAGTGTGGGCCACTCTGGCTATGGGGCCTGCTAGGAAGCTGGGCCTGCTGTCTGGGGAGGGGGCAGAGAGAAGGCTGCTGCGGCCTGCAGAGAAGAAAGGTTTCAGGACCTCAGCAGACCTTCCCTTTGTATGCAGGGAAGGGGACGGGCTCAGCATGACAGGGACACAAGACAGGGCTCACATCCTAGCCTGCACCCCAGGCAGCTGGTAGCAGCTGGACAGATGGCCTAGCTCAGAATCTAGAAGCAGAGACAGGCAGGAGGTCCTGGGGCCACTCTAAAAACAATTCCCATATGGAGTCCCAGGCCTGTGGTGCCAGCCACTGTAACATTCTGACCGGCAAGACCAGTGTGGGGGAGGGCAAACACATTTTTGTTCTGTTCTTTAGGCCCCTGCTTCCCCCACCCGAATGCCTGCTGTGTAGGAAGGGCTTGGGCTTGATGCCACCAGGCACTGGGTACTGCAGGTGGGCGTGGGGCCCAGTACCTGCTTGGCCTGCTTCCAGGACTCCTCCCACTGCTTGATGGTGCCGTTAGCTTCATCTAGCTCTTGCCGAAGCCGGGCCAGCTCAGCAGCCCCTGGCCCTGATAGGAAGGCAGGGGAAGTGCCTGGGGAGAAGCTTCCAGAGGCAAAATGCTCCCAGATGCTGCTGTTCATCCCGTTCAGACCTGCCCCAGGGAGGGGAGGAACATCAGCTGTGGAGGGCTTAGGCCCAGGCCCTGGCCAGCCCCTCCTGGGCTGCCAGGGGCTGGCTGAACACCGGGTGAGTATGTAAGAAGAGAACGTGAAGGGATCACTGGCTAGGTCAGGTCTAAACTTCAGTGTTGTCTGCCAGTACACGTGAATCTCAGGGGCTTAGGGCTGTGTGGAGGGCAGTCTGTGAAGACATCTTCTATTGCACAGGTGGAGGGCAGTCTATGAAGGCATCTTAGCTGTGCAGCTCTTGCATAGCTCCTTTACCCTACTGGGAGGTGGAGCAGGGTCCTGACTGACAAGACCAGATAGGCCAGAGCCACCAGCCAGCACCGTGATGAGCAGGCTGGAGCAGGAGGGGCCAAGGGAAGCTTGGGGCTTCTTGTTTTGCAGGCAGGACAAAGAATGTGCTAGCAAGAACCACTAAGGGAACAGGAGAGCAGGAGAGCCTGAGCATCTGACTCCAGAAGCCTGCCGTCTACAGGCTGCCTGCTGACACTGTACACTGTTCTGGCTTCCTTCTACCCACACACACGATTCCAGTGACTTCGGGTCTGCTCCCTTTCCCACTAAATGATCCAGGTTTCAGACATTTCCCCCCTCTGAGAAATACCAGCACATGGGGGAAAGAGAGAAGACACTGGACCAGGTGTGATGGTGCATACTTCATGGCTGATTTCTGAGTTTGAGGCTAGCCTAGGTTACATAATAAGACCTCGTTTTTAAAAGAGAGTGCCAGGCGTTGCTGGCACACGCCTTTAATTCCAGCAATTGAGAGGCAGAGCAGGTGGATCTCTGAGTTCCAGGACAGCCAGGGCTACAGAGCTACATAGAGAAACCCTGTCTCAAAAAGCCAAGAGAGAGAGAGCACTTTGTCCTGTGACAGACTTGCAGTGTGCATTGTCTGAACCCATCCTGCCAGGAGAGACAAACTGGTCTGGCACCAGGCTCTGTTCACCTGCGCCTCTGCCCTCCCCGTGCAGGTGTTATTCATTCTGGTAGCAGAGCTGGTTCTACAGAGAGAGCACCCCGTACATCAGATCCCCTGACTGGGAGCCAGTGTGCTTCTGTTTCCAGCGCTGCTGACAGAGGCTGTTAGGTGGCACTTGTATCTATGTAGCAGTGCAAGAGGGTCACCTGCAGGGGTCATGTAGAGCCAGTAGGTAGAGCTCAGGTGAGGTATCTTCAGAGTATGGGAGTCAGAAAGACAGCATCAGCATTTAACTGGATCCAACCTCAGCACAGAAGCCGCCTCCAAGCTGAGAAGGTACTCTAAAATCCTGGCGGAAGGGAGGAAGTCCCTACGCTGAGCAGAACTTCAGAGGCTCTAAGTTCCCTCTCTGACTGGAGGTCCAGCATCCTAGGAGCTCTCTGAATAGCTGAGGAGTGAGGGTGAGGGCCAGGGAGCTGTTGATGAGAGGCAGGGGCCTCTGTTGAATGCTGTGTATGTACCAAATACCTCAGGGAACATTCTCCCACAGCCTCCACTCCAGGAGCCAAGGTGCTTGGGTGTGGTGGCCCAGCCTGAAGGTTCCCTACTGCAAGTCTCACTGCTGAACCTGGAGATCACACAGATCCCCTCTGTTCTAAGGCTGGGCGGGGCAAAGAGCAGCCTGGGCTAGATATGGGTCCCTGATGCCGCTCCCTGCCAGGAGGGGAACACTTGAGACTGGGTGGGCCTGTCTAACTGTTCCCTTTGCTCTTTGGTGATCTTTGATGATGTGACCAGCTGCTAGGTCTGGGTGAATGGATACAATGGTTGTGTGTGATCCTGGGGATCAGACCCAGAGTCTGGGCCATGCTAGGCCTGAGCTCACTACGCCACACTAGTATGATCAGGGAAAACTGCACTGAAGACCAGGCCTTCACCTTAGATGCCTGGGCATGATCCTTCCTCTTCATAACCACTACACACATTCCGCAGCACAGGAAGCTGAGGCAGCAGTGTGGCTTCCGACCACTTGTCCAACCGTGTAGGTATCAGAGAACATGTCTAGGCTGAAGCCCTAGCTCTCCCCTACAGCTGGACTGAAGTGTCACAAGAAGCAGACAAGGGAATTTGCTACAAGGCACAAGGTTCTTATCCAGTCCCTTTCTTACCTAAAGATCCATGTGATGCTGAGGTCCCCAAAAATGTGTTTTCTGACTGACTCAAGTGGCTCTGGGGTTGTTGCAGGAAATGTGAGGAGAGGCTGACGGGAGGGGACGGAGAAGCAGAGTGGAAGGAGGCTGAGCTGCCTAAGGAGCCGGGGATGTTCACAGGTGCAGAACTCTGCACCAGACTGCCACCTGTAAGAGACCCAAAGGGTGGACTGCGTGAGGACCAGGCAAACCATGTGGGTACAAGTGAAGTCCCAAGCCCCCCAGGCCTTCCCGGCCCACCCCTGCCCAGTACCGATGGTGCTGCTGCTGGGGTGGGGCACTGTGCTGCTATCGAAAGTCTTCTCCAGGGCTGCTACTCCAAACTCGTTTAGGTCCAGGTCATCCAAGGCAGACTCTAGGGATAGAGAACGGAGTGTGGGCTCCCAAGAAACATGCCCTTGGCTCCAGGCTTCCTGATCCTGAGCACCTCATTTACTGCCTTTGCTGTTTCTCTGCTCAGCACTTTATGAAGCCTTCTTTCATACTCCAAGAGGAATCAAGGCCCAATCCAGTGTGTTGTGGTGTGGCATGTCAGTAATCCCTGCCTTCAGAAAGCTGAGGCAGGAGGACCAAGAGTTCAAGACCAGCCTGGGCTATGTATAGCAAAATCTCATCTCAAGAAGAAAAAAATGATTGACTTCAAGGCTGCAGCTTCAACTGACAGAGGTGTGTGGTGTAGCCTCCTGGTGTTTCACCCTGAGTTACTGAGAGTCAGCAGCTCTGGGCCTTTGAGCTGCCTGACAAACGCCGGTGCCTCCCTGCTGAACTGGCCTGGCAGGAGGTACAGTTTCTCTCCTAGAAGGCAGGAGCAGCATACTACCACCTGATTCCCCAGGGGTTGGCACGGGGCCTGGCACAAAGTGGGCAACATAAGTAATAATGGAAAGGGGCCTGACTTCTTCCTCTTGCTGCTGAGGACCAAACCCAGCACCTTACCCATGCTAAGTACTCAAGCTGCACCTGGGCACACCCAGTCCACAGCACCAGTGTCTAACTGCCAGCACTCTGAGGACAGATGTGCAAGACACTTCCCAAGGAGGCCTAGTGAACCACCTAGGGCTGCGTGGCGTGACTTTCATGAAAGGCTCCATGGCCTAGTCTTGGCCTCCATGTTGAACTCAGAGGACCCAGAGTGTCTATGCTGACTCGCCCCGTGTCTAAAGTCTGCGGTGCTCAACCAGGTCTCACTTCAGACACCTTGTGTCTCTGACTCCAGATCCAGGCCTAGGCTTGCAAACAAACCCTGCCTAGTTACCTATGACCGACTCTACCGTGTCGCTGGTGGGATAGAAGGGCAGAGCATTTGCATTCATGCCAGGGGCGCTGCTGGTGCCTGCAGGGCTGGGGGGAGTGGCTGCCAAGCTGGAGGTAATACTGGAAGAGATGCTTGAGGTCAGGGGGCTGCCCACAGGGAGGATGCCCAGCACGTCCTGCAACGAGAGTGAGGAGAGGCAATGGGGCGCTTGCCATCAGAAGCTGTGGCAGAACAAGCACAAGGCAGGTTGACTAGAGCAGCCAGTACCTTACAGGCCTGGCTGGCAGTCCCAGGCCCACCTTGCTGAGTGGCAGAAAGGGGACAGTAAAACACAACCCATTAGCTACTTACCCTTGCAGGGCTGACACTGGGATGTTCCCTAATCATTCCTGGTGAATGGTAAGTCTAGGAGGAGATGAGCCCGGGGCCTGACCCCCCGCCCTCTCTGGACTTGGGGCTGGGCCCGCCTGAGTCCTTCCTTAGTTTGTGGAGGAATTGGTACCCTACTTGGTGAAACCTGCTGGGGCTCTGGGCCTGTCCTATCCAGCGATACCAGGAGCAGAGATGGGAGCCAGGAGCTCTGTACCTGTTTAGGTTGAAGCAGAGGCTGCTCTTGACTCCTGGGCTCTAGCGAATGGGGTTTCAGTTTAGCCTAAGAGAGAAAAATGAGGGAGCAGGAAGTGATTGTGGTACTGGGCAGATCCAAACCTAGTGTCCACCTGGCCCTGCTAGGTCCACTGAGGCTGCAGATACGGGAAGGGCAAGGAGTGAGAGCAGCTGTCACCTGCCACACACAACCCGCTTCCTCTTCCCAGGTTTCTCTCTCTCCACTTCTATATCCTCTCCCCGTCCCCTCCTACCCTGAACAGGGCAGGCTTCTGTCCTCCTAGGTGACTAAACTCTGGACAAACCCAGGTTTGTCTCCTGCTATTAGGAAGTCCTCTCTTCTGGTCCCCCAGGCCCTGTCATTTCATTAGACATCACAGTTTGGGAGAGAAAGGGGACATCTTTTACCTACTGACTGACTCAATGGCTCTGGGGAAGCTGTGTGGCCTTTTGCAGAGTGAATATAGGTTTATAAAGGAAACAGGAGAAACAGCTCAGGGGTGTGAGGGGTCTGTGCAGCCTCCTCAGCAGTGAAGCGGGGTGATACCACTCTCTGCCCAATCCTAAAGACGCTCAAAATGGACTCGGTTCTAGCTCTTAGTGTCCTTCCCCCCAGTGAGCCAGGCCTCACCTCTAAGCTGCTCTGCCCCATGCAAAAGGCCAATCTCAGTGTCCTCTGCTGCCCCTGCACCCTTTACCTGGCACTTGAGATTCTTCAGGTACTCTGCTCCCATCTGGTCCTCCCTCTCAAAGCCAGGAGCTTTCTTATAGCTGCCAGGGGCAAGGCTGGACTCCCCAGGGAAGACCAGGCCCTCCAGGTTTGAAGTCTTCCTGCTAGGGCCTGGTGGGGAGCTGCAGAGGTGAGATGGGCTGCCCAAGCCACTGTTCCTACAGAGGAGCTGCAGAAGGGGACAGGTGGGCGGTGGGCAATGGGTACAGTGTGGACAGGGGAATGGCCACCCTCCAGTCCTGCTTCAAAGGGCTGTGGTCAATGAGCAACAATAAGCACTCAGGGACCCCTAAGTCTCATAAGGGATTTGACAGACAGTAGTGACAGGCTTATCCCAGCCCTGCCCAGGCTGATCACTACTGGCTCTAAGGATGCATCCCCACCTCCCTGCCCTCAGCTCCAGAACAAATACCAGGGCCTCAAGCTCCTGGGGCAGAGGAGAGGCAGGAGCTTGCTCCTGGGCAGGCAAGGTGCCCACCCACTCCCCAAGACAGGCACGTACGGCGCTGAGGTCAGGGGCATGCGGGCTGGAGGGGCTCACAGGGACCGAGTCTCCGGCAGCAGATGGCATGTACAAAACAGGACCCGGCTGGGTGGGGCTGGATACAGCTGAGGAAGGCTGCATGTCATCATTTAAGGGTGGCGCTGCAAGAGAGAGTGGGGTCAGCAGGCGCGAAGTGAGGTCTGTCTCTGTAAATTATATCTGCATATCTTCTAAAGGAGGCCATACATATCCCTGCCACCACGGGGAATTAAGTTACCGTTTCCACTGCACCTTCTACAGTTAACTGAAAGTTACTGAAGTCACATGATGGGCTTCATTACACAGAAAAGGAAATGGAGGTTCAGAAAGGTCAGCCAAGTCTCCCAAGATAACAGAGATAGGAGACAGAAGAGCTCATTCCAACCCCATTTTGTATAGCCCAAACTATTAATCCCTTCTCTGTGGCAACTGGGCAGTCTCAGTGCCTACAGCTCCAGCTCCCTGTGCCCTCCATGTTTCCCCTCCTAGAGTTCTCTCTTATTCTCTCATCTCTGAGACAGAGCTGAGCCTAGAAAGAGTGAGGGGAAGCAGAGCCCTGATCTGCAGGGAGACAGGCAACAACCCAGCCCCCACGGGAACAGAGCGTGGGGCTGTTTCACGCTGCAGCACAAGCCACCTGACGCTACTGAGCACTTAATGAGCCGACTTAACCTGAAACGGATGCAGAGGTTACAATGATTAGAGGTTCTCTAAGACTCGGCACAAACACGGTAAACAGCTTGATACTTCTTAAGTTAGTTACTTATAAAATAGTTTATGTATTTATTTTGAGGCAGGGTCTTTGTACATAGCCCTGGAACTCACTATTGTAGACCGCACTGGCCTTGAGTCTGCTCCCAGGGCTTGGTATTAAAGGTGTGCACCACCACACCCAGCTATGCTATCATTTTACATTGGACTTAGTAAAAACATTGAAATTAATTTAACCTATCCATCTCTCTCTCTTTAGCACGTTACGCAAAACTTTAGTGACCTACGGAAGCTACCTTATACTCTGGCAGAAGGCTCTGCTCCAGTGAACCAAGCAGGGCTCAGCAGGGAAGAGCTTCATGCTCATGGGTGACATGGGGTAGCTGGCTGGGATCAATCAAGTTGCTTTTAACATTTGGTGCCTCAGTGTTGCCTGGGACTCAATGCCCAATAGGGCATGGACCTCTGAGTCTATCTCAGGCTCCTGGAGGCTGTACCAGGGCGACAAGGTCAGTTCCAGAGTGGCCAGGTGACTGTAACTTCCAGTGGGGATGCCCCCAGGCCTGAGCCTCAGCAGAGGTTAGGGGAGAACAGGAAGACAAGGAGCTGCCCCAACCATGCGAACGTCGTACATACGTTCTATGTGGGCAAAGGCGCAGAAAGGTCCTCGGGGACAGCTACCCGACTGCTGCATATCGTTGCACTTAGTGGATTTGTAGATCTGGAGGGGGAGGGCAGAAACAGGACAAGTTCAACCACAGTTAGACACTTTCATCGAGGTAGGGCTAGCCTGGAATTCCTCTCCACTTTTTCCCTTCCTAGTTCCCTATGTCTTTACCAGCGTCTTTTTCTAGGGACAGGATATTGATAGACAGCCTATGCTTGCCTTTGGCTCCTAACTCTCCTGCCTCACTGTCTCGTGCTGGGGTGGCAGGCACGCACCGCCCACCAAGCTTCTCCTGATCAACCTGCTCAACTCTCGGGGCAGCCTATACCATCAATCAACACCCTCCTCCTGGAGTCAAAGGTCCATCACAAGGAAACTGGGGTGACACCCATGAATATGCCTCCTTATACTGAGCCAAGATCCCAAAAAGCACAGAGTCACCTTCAAAATGCCCCTCAGGGAACCTGGACTTGTGATCTCTACTGGGTTTAACTGCTGCCTGTGATGTCTACAGCCACATAAGGCTGTCTTTGCATCGCTGTGCCCTGGCTTCCACAGACCCCACTATGGAGGGAGAAGTACACCAGGGAGGCTGCTGTCCCTGTCCCTTGGGCTCTGATCTGCCATGCTCCGCAAGGTGTAAATACCACAAGTAGTGTAAAGTCCGGAACGGCCAGACTACTAGGTCCTATCCGTGCCTTCTCGGCTGGGTGGGCTAGGAATCGAACTGGAAGCAGAGGGAGGGCAGGCTTAGAAACAAAGCGGCTACACGCTGAGACACTACCCACAAAGCCCTCTCCTGGAATAGCGCCACTCCCTGCCCCCATTCTAGCCTATCTCCTAATGCTCCAAAGTGGAGATGGTAAGTCACTCCTGCCCCTCCCCACAACCTACCTCTGGGTGGAACTGCTGCTCTGTGCGGGTGTGGCAATACTGGCAGGCATCCCCATTCTCACACTTGCCAGGGTCTCCCCACTCGTCCCCGTGTTTGACGTTTGGGCATGGAGATGACCTGGTCCAATGAGAAGGGATCAGACAGGGGCAAGAGAGGACGAGAATGGGACCAGAACAATGCCACCTGGGTCCTTGGACAGGGCCCTCTCTGGTCTCCTGTCTCACAAGTCCAGGTGTAGAAATGGGGAAGACCAGCTACATAGGAAGGGTCTCACTAGGGCCAGGCTGTTCCTCTGGCCCTGGCCATATCACCAAGGAAGACACAGTTTTGCACCCTTCAGCCAGGCACTGAACCTCTGACAGCCCAAGGAGTCAGGCCACAGCCACACACATGTCCCACACGGGCACACACCCTAAAGACTCAGAAATGGATGGGCCTCATGCAAGAACGGGTCAGGGCTCCCACCAGTCTCTTCCACAGCCCCCTCCTTTCTAACTGGGCCCTGTAACCCCCAGGGCTTGCCCTCCCACCGCCCTGAGAACCATGGAGGCAGTGGTGTCGGTCACAAACCCTTCCTCGCCTCTCCCCCTCCCATGGCAACCTTTTGGGGCCAAAGAACCTGTATTTGTGCTTCCGGGGACTCCGCCGCCGGTCCTTGCTGTTGTGGTAGTAGGGACAGGCATAGCCCTGGCGACACAGTCGTGGAGGCTTCTTGCATGGCTCTGTCTTATAGTTCCCCAGGACATAAGCAGTCTCTGCACAGAAGGACAGAGGGCAGAGGGCAGGGGTCAGGGAATGGAGTCAGAGCCCCCAACAACAGCAGAGTAGAGCACAGGGGACAGCTACTGGGAAGAAGGGTCCCCTGAGCTGGGGTTCTCATGCAAGACATGAACGGGGCCACGTCTTTATAGGCCAGGTAGGCAACAGGAGGGAAAAAGCATGGATGAGGGTGTATATGTGAAAGCCAAGGGAATCTTGGGAATCCCGTCTGTCTGGAAACTCCCTTATAGTGCCTTTTGAATATAAGTTTAACATGGGATGAAGGGGCGAGGTGAGCTAAAGAAATGGCTCAGTGGTTAAGAGCACTTGTTCTTGTAGGACTGGGTTCCGTTCAGTGAGTCGGGTCACAACCATCCATAAAGCATGCACACAGTGCACAGAGATACGGCCAGACAAACACTTATACACATAAATACTTAAAGTTTCCAGATGGGATGAAAGGGCTAGAGTTCTCCTAACAGAAGTGGTAGTTTCAAGCCAAGCCACTGGGTAGCTATGGAGAGGGGAGTGCAATCGCCACCTGAGGCTGCCTATACCTTGCCACCGAGGTTCCTCACTGAGGATTTTTTCTATCATGGCATGACTTGCAGCCCCAGCTGACTGGCCTTCTATGCTGCCCTCTACTGTAGTCTGGCCATTCTGTAAGGCCTCCATGGCTTGGAGCTCCCTGAGAGAAAAGGAAAGGACGGAGAGGTGGGAAGGGGAATGAGAGAATGGGAAACAGTGTCATCAATCTCTTGTCTCGTTGAAGTCAGCAGCAACAGTGGCTGATCTCCTTGCCTGCCCCTCCCCTCGGCCCAGCCTCGGCCTACCTGATATCATAAACAGGGGAGCGGAGGTCATGTGGGCCGTGAGCAAAAGCACAGTGCAGGCCATTTTTGGTGCAGTTGCCTTTTGAGTCTGTTTCATGGATGCAGATTCCAGTTTTATAGTAACGAAGGTGGTACCTGCGCTCGGTGTCCCCTGTGGTCCTGTGCAGGAATGGGCACCTGGAACACAGCAGGGGAAGTCAGTCACCTCCGCCTCCCGAGGCCACTGCGGAAGGGCCGCCACCACGATCCAGAGAGTGCAGTGAAGGAAGACTGGGGAAGACAATGATGAAGTCTGTGGCCAGGATGGCTCTGCGCGCAAAGGCTGGGATGTGAAGGGTTTGGTACCCCAGGCAGCTGCCTATAGCTGCTTCAGGGGACACACTTCTGGATGAACAGATGTTTGAATAATAAATGCTACCCAACTCAGGGGCTTCCAAAAATCAACCCCTCGAAACTTGCACACGTGCCCTACAAGCTTTAACAGGCTTGAGAGGAGATCAGCCAGTCTTGACCTCTGTGAAAAAGGTCGGCTACTGTAGAAAAAGCTCAGAATGCTGTAGTACAGAACCCAGAAGCGCTTCCCAGCACTTTTCTGAGGTTAAAACAATAGCAACAAGGCCTCGACGGTCCCTCTGAGTAATGTCTCAGGCTTTGCCACCTCACTTGCTACCAGTGATAGACTCAATTCCTCAACAGACATTTAAAGTTAGCAAATAAGCTGGCTGTCATGGCACATGTCTCTCTCTTTTTTTTTTTTTTTTGGTTTTGAGACTGGGTTTCAATGTAGCATTGGGGCCTGTCTTGGAACTTGCTCTGCAGACCAGGCTGGCCTCGAACTCATACAGATCTGCCTGTCTCTGCCTCCCAAGTGCTGGGGTTAAAGGAGTGCGCCACCACTGCAAGGCATGGTACACGCCTTTAAATCCAGCCCCTGGGAGGCAAAGGCAGTTGTCTCTGTGAATTTGAGAGCCTGGTCTACAGAGTGAGTTCCAGGCCACCCAGGGTTTCGTTGAGACTCTGTCTCAAACAACAACGATCAGCACACAGGGACACTAGAGAGGCTTTTTCTACGCTGCCACGGCAGTGCGGACTGTGGTGGGGATAAGACATGGAGGACCAGAAACAAACCCAGGGCATCATCTTGGTTCAAATGTAGTCTTGTGGGATTTAGTGGAAGAAAGGCTAATTTTTTGTTTTCATGCAATAGGCAAAAGAAACGAAAGCCATTCCCATTTATTGCTGTCCCTCGAGCTCAGGGCAAGGGTGAGCCCAACTTTGACCTATTTTGTAGGCTAGCTGCCTGGCATGTACCACGCTTATTCTGAGGGCATCTGATCCAGAAGGAGAGCTGGCAGGGCACTCACTCGTCACCCTCTGGGCAGAGGCCTGTGGCCTCGTCGTACTTGGTGCAGTAGACATCTGGACTATAGTTAAAGGTGCCGTCCCGACGGCGGATGGAACGGCGGCGCCGCTGGTTCACGAAGTGCCAGTGGAAGCAGGTGTAGGGCCGGTGCTGTGTGCATTTGTGTTGCACGAAGAGCGGACACTGCTCTGTGCGGAACTCCTTCAGGTACCTGCAGAGAGACAGTCTATGAGGGGTGGGCCAGGAGCACAGTGAAGCGCCTTGCTTTCCAGCAAAAAGCCACCAAGCCCCGAGGGCCCTGCTCTGGAGTGCCAGTCCCACTGGGACAGGAGCGGTCCAGGGCTGAGGCTGGACTCTGGCTTTTAGATATGTCCCAACAACTACGCTCCACACCAGCATGAAAGGCAGCAGCCACAGGCCACATGAACGCTGTGTGTGGCAGAGGCCAGCTGTGCTCAGCAGCAGCTTGGCTGAGCCATCTGAGGTTTCGCAGGCCGAGCCACTAATCATAGGGAAAAAGCTATTCACAAGAACATAAGCAGCCTCCCCCGAGTCTGTGGTTCCCTACTGCCCACATACACCGACCCACCCCCAAAGACCTCCCTATACCATGAACCAAGCTGGCACTGTGGGTTGAGGGAAGAAACATGGAGACACTGCTTACTGCTTTGGTACCCATTGGTAAAGTGCCCTCTGGATTAACTCTGATCACTGTCTGTAGCACGAATAATAAAAACCCAGAGACAGATATTGGGGTTTAAGCTGAAGATTAGAAAAAGCAAAACAGCCAAGCCACCAGAGAAGTCTCTCCTCTACCAAGGCTGGGCGACTGCAGACTGAGCCCTGAGCCTGTCCCATCTTATATTCCCCTCTAGTGCTGGGATTAAAAGTATGTGAGTCCCTAAAACTGACATTAAAGGTGAGTCACCACCACCTGGATGTTTCTGAATTGATCTTGAGTAGCCCAGGGCGGCTTTGAACTCACAGAGATCCATCTGCCTCTGTCTCCCAAATTCTGGGATTAAAGGTGTGTGATATCACTGCCTGGCCTCTAGTATCTTAGTTTTATCTTTTGATCTTTAGGCAAGCTTTATTTACTAAAACATGAATATCACTATAACTGTCCTTGAGATGTCTTTAGTGCTACCTGCAGGAATATTTGGGAAGGAGCTCACACAGGGATTCTGAAGATGCCTTCCCTCTTAGAATGGACTGTGCCCAGTTGTCTCACATAAGACCTGCAACAGCTGGGGTTTTTCAAATACTGGTGTCTCTCTCCTCTACCCTCAAACAATAGCCAGGATATCAAAAAATACTCCACTAGGTGGAGGGTTTCAAACCATCTTACCCTCACAGAACATACCCCATCGATTTGTGTTCTTCACTACCTTAATCCAGCCTAAGGTTCTCCTAGGCTGGGGTGGAAACTGTTGAATGGGCAATCAGTGCGGTTTTGTTTCCTTTTTTTTTTTAAATTTATTTATTTATTATGTATACAACATTCCTTCCATGTATGCTTGCATGCCAGAAGAGGGCACCAGATCTCATTACAGATGGCTGCGAGCCACCATGTGGTTGATGGGAATTGAACTCAGGACTTCTGGAAGAGCAGTCAGTGCTCTTAACCTCTGAGCCATCTCTCCAGCCCCTGCAGTTTTCTCTTTTTTTAAATTTATTTAACATGCATTGGTGTGAAGGTGTCAGATCTCCTGGAACTGGAGTTACAGACAGTTGTGAGCTGCCATCTAGGTGCTGGGAATTGAATCCGGGTCTTCTGAAGAGCAGCCAGTGCTCTTAACCACTGAACCATCGCCTCTCCAGCCCCTGCAGTTTTCTTTAAATGTTTTTTAATGTACTTTTTTTTTTTTTTTTTAAGTATGAGTGCTCCCTCTGCATGTAACCCTGCAGGCCAGAAGAGGGCATCAGATCCTATTACAGATGGTTATGAGCCACTGTGTGGTTGCTTGGAACTGAACTCAAAAAGAACAATCAGTGCTCTAACCAATGAGCCACCTCGCTGGCCCTCCCTTAAATATTTCACTGTGTATATATGTATGTGTGAGTGGTGGGAAACGGTGCATATGCCACAGCACACATATGGAGGTCAGAGTACAGCTTTGTGGAGCTGGTTTTCTCCTTCCACCTTTACATGGGTTCCAGGAATCAAACAGGTCAGCAAGTCCTGCTATCTTCGAGACCACTGGGCAGACCAATTTCTCAAGCCAACAATCCAAGCAACCAATGGGCTGAGAGGTAAGGAGATGCCAAGAGCATCATGTGCAATGTTGTATACCTAAGCAAGTGAGGCAGAAGCAGCAGATTTGAACCAGCTGCTGCCTGGGCTCGGGCAGAGCTTAGATCTGGAGTGCATAACCCTAGGACTTCTGCCCAGATCCCTGAGGCCTAAGTAGTCCAATAAAGAGCAGGCTGGGTGGGCAGGACTGGGGATGGGATCAAACAGAAGTGTCTGGAGTCAGGCAACACCTGTTAAACCCAGCACATTTGGGTACAGATGCAGGGCCAAGCAATGAGGACACTGTCCTGCTCATGTTTTCAAGGGAGATACGAAGAATAGATGGGACTGCCGGATGATGATGGCGCACACCAGAGGCAAGCAGATCTCTGAGTTTGAGGCCAGCCTGGTCTACAGAGTGAGTTCCAGGACGGTTAAACAGAAAAACTCTTTCTCAAAACAAAACAAAAGGATAGGAGAGACTGATGGAAAGAAATGTAAGGGGCTCTTCTCTGGGTATCTTAGGTACCAAAAAGGACTCTGACCCAGACTGGAATCAAAGAAGGCTTAAAGGAAGAAGGTGCTAGCAGATTAAATGTTCTGAAGAAAATTAACAGTATGATATAACATTGTATCTGGTTCTATGAGTGCCAAGTGCCTCTATAGGAGCAACCGGGAGCCTAGAAGTGAGCGTTGCAGACAAACCCACAGGTGGCAGAGGTATCAACTCTGGGTCCCAAGTATCTAAGATACCGGAGAGAAAACTGAAAGGCCCCTATGATCTGCTTTCTTGGCTCCTCTGGCATTTAAATAGAAGTTCTGTTTCTTTCCATTTGTCTGTCTGTCTGGCTAGACAAACAACCTGTGCCTTTTTGGCTATATTCAGGTATCAAGCCCTGGCACTAAGTTGGGGCACCCATGCTCTAAGCTACTAGGCTAATCCTTCAAGAAAGACATTCTTCCTATTCGTTGGGTCCACTAGGAGAGCAACCCAGGTAGAAAATGAGGTGAGGAGGAAGGGAGCAAGTGCAGTCTTGAGTGCAAAGGCCTGGCAAAGTAAATCCCAACACCTAGTTAGGATGGAGCTCCAGATAAACCATGAGTACTTTCCTGCATGAAAAAGTATGGCTGCACACGGCATGAGGCACACCAATACTGTGGAGCTACACATTGTGTATCTGTGATTCTATCTAGCTGCTATCCTGTACTTCAATGTTCTCTTCAGACAAGGTCTCGTTGTTGCTGTCCAGGCTGGTCTCAAAGTCCTGGGCTTAGGCAATTATTCTGTCTTGTCTAAGTAGCTAGGATAATGGGTACAAACCATGTTACCACTAGATAACATCCTGTGTTATTTGCAAAATAAATGTTGGTGCTCCTTAAAGTCTGACAGGGTATGGTGGTATAGCCTTTAACCCCACCACTGGTGGCAGTAAAACCCTGTCTCAAAAACAAACAAAAAAACTTTTTTTTTTTTTTTTGGTTTTTTGAGACAGGGGTTCTCTGTGTAGCTTTGGTTGTCCTGGAATTAACTATGTAGACCAGGCTGGCCTTAAACTCACCTGACTCTTGAGTTCTGAGATTAAAGGCACATGCTACTATCATCCACTTAAAAGAAAACATTTGAAGCCAGGCTTGACAGTCCATGCCCTTAATCCCAGCACTCAGGAGGCAGAGGCAGAGAGGTAGCTCTCTCTGAGTTGGAAGCCAGCTTTTACAACATAGAAGATTCCCGGATAGCCAGGACAACTTAGTGAGACTCTGTCTCAATAACAACAATAAAGCAAAACAAAACGTTTGGTGTCAGCATCTTGGTGAGCACACAGGAGACAGGGAGAAGGCTTTGGGCACAGTGGCTCTCACGAAAAGAAGCTCCTTGGGGTAGAAGCTTGCACGGCTGAGGCAGAAATGTCTACAGTGCCTGACAGGAATTCCTCAGGTAAGGACAGAGGCAGCAGGTCATTTGAAGCCACACTTCCATTCCTACTGCCCCATGTCAGATACACAGGACTTTTTAATAGGACTTGTTAGTCTTCCTGAAACCCGGATAAGCGGCCACCACTGCTCAGCCTGGCATTCCTAGCCCCATCCACCCATCCCAGTGTGGGTTTTTAACTCGGCCTCCTCACCACTCTGGCCACAGCTGCAGTGCTAGTGGCAAGAAAACTTCCTGTCTTTGCTCGTGCCTCACTCCTTACTTGAGGAAACCAACAAAGGCTGGACTAAATGGAAATGAATCTTTTGGATGCCACTTCTGTGAAGTCTTCCTTGCTTTCCACCTAACTATCTGTTAGCTCCCCTGCACTGGAAACGCTGGAGATGGAACCCACGGCCTTGCACATGGTACTCTACCGCTAAGCTACACTCAGACAGAGCCACTTTAGGCATTTCTTACACTTCTTATTCTGCTTTGCATGTTAATCATGACACACTCCCCTTTACAGGTTGAGTATACCTCATCTGGAATGCTTGAGATGAAAGTCACTTGTAATCTTTTTGAATTTGGGAAACCACACACAAAGCTATTATGGGGATGGAACATAGAATTCACTCAGTTCATTTATGTGTCACATATGTTTTATAAATATCAGCGCTAGAGTAATTAGAATTATAGATATATACCACCATGTCATCCATACCTGTGACCCACTACATAGAATGAGGAGAAAAACTTCCCACTTGGTTTTAATTTTCCTTTATTTTTGTAGTTACACGTGCATGTGTGCATGGGTAGATGTGTACACGTGTGGAGGCCAGAGGCTGAGGCTGGGGTCTTCCTCTATTGCACTCCACCTATTTGTTAAGACAGAGGCTCTCACTGAACCGGAGCTCAACAATGTGGCCAGATCCTCTGTCTCCACAAGTGCTGCCATGCCTAGCTTTTTAATCTGGATGCTGGGGACTCAAGCCCAGGTCCTCTGCTTAGAAGATAAGCACTTTACGGAACGGGACATTTCGTTCACCCCTCTACTGAGGACATG